CTTCACCTACTACTTTCCAGCATTCAGCTTAGTCTTCCCCAGCTTAGTCTTCCCTGTCTACCTAAGATCTACCCTATCAGGCAAAGTTTATTCATTAACTAATAAAAGCAACATATAGACAGAAGGACATCCCACACCAGTGAGTGGACCAGTCTGTGCAAGTATGAAGAAAAAAAAACACATGGTAATTTATAAATGAAAGTTTAGTATGAAGAAGTATTAAGTAGAACAGAAGCTTGGAATATGCATTGAAATTGATATCAGTTAGCAATAGACACCTGGGGGTTATTATAATACTTTCTGTATCTTTAGGACACTTCTAATTTTTTCATAATAAACATAAACAATTCACAGCTATAAAATTTTTAGAAGATTTCCTTAGCATAAAGATTTAAATATTTTGTGTAGTGAAAGCAATTATTAAAAATTAATTTAGGGATCTAAGAAAATGGTTCAGTTGGTAACATTCTGGCTGTATAGACCTAAGGACCCAAATTCAGGTCCCTATGAAAAATGTGCTGTAGCCATGGGAAAATCCAGGGGCAGCAGCTGAGATCCTAAGGCTGGGGATGTAGAGACTATAGGACCTCTGGGGATTGCTGGCCAATGAGGGAAGACCCTGTCTCAAAAGAGAAGGTGAAGAGCAATTGGAGAAGACATTCAATGTTGACCTCTGGCTTTCACCCACAAGTGTATGAGCACACACACATACACACTCACATGGGATAATTACAAACACATATATACACACAGTAATTTTTAAAAAGCCAGATGTGGTGTTGCATGTTTGTAATCTCAAGACTTGGGAACTTAAGATGAACTCAAGGTCAGGTCATCCTGGACTATATATCAAGACCCTGTGTCAAAAAAAAAGAAATAAAGAAAGAAAGGAAAGGAAAGAAAAGAAAGCAATGCTAAAGAATATATGAAATGCAGCAGTAATAAACAATTACTAAGGCTGGGTATAAAGAAGATTGCCTATAGTTCTACCACTCTGGAGGCTGTAACAGAAGACTATAAATTCAAGGTCAACAGCAAAATGGAAGACTGAAGTAATGAGTTGGTTGGTAAAAAATTAAAGAAAATTCTAAACAATATACAAATTACAGATGCAAGAAACACAGTGAAACTGGGTATGGTGGCATACACATGCACTACCAACATTCAAGATGCAGAGAGAGACATGGCTTAGCAGGTAGAAACACATGCAGCTCTAGCAGAGAAGTGCAGCTTGGTTCCCAGAACCCATAAAGCTGATAACAGTTGTCTGTAACTCCAGTTCCAGGAGATCTGATCTGATGCCTCTTCTGACTGCTAAAGGCTCCTGCATGTAAATAGTATAGATACATACATACAACCAGGTACACACACATACACAGAAAACATTTTTTTAAGAAAGAGCCAGGACAGGTATTTCAAGTTAAAGGCCTCTCTCCACAGTCAAACAAATAAAGGAAGACAGGTACTACGTTTGAGGCTAAGACAGCTTTTCCAAATAGGTATAACAATGGCTGACAGAACAGCAGATGCAACACTGTGGCATTATAGGGGTGGAACCTACTGCACATCCATTCTATGGAATTTTCTAGAAACCTATCTTCCAGAAGTTGCCAGAAATATACTCTCAGCAAGGTACTGGAAACATGCTTTCTAGAACATTTCAGATACTTGCCATTTACAGTGTGGGGAAAGCTGAAATCTGCAACAGCCTCCCAAGAGAACATATGGCACCAGGGGCAAACCTCTTTTATCCTAAAATTTCTCTCCAAACCTTTCTATTAACAGAAACTGGGGTTATGCCATTAGCAAAAGGACACTTGTTTAACAGGCAAAGTTGAACCCAAGAGATAACTTCTAGCACTCAGTTTCTCTATAAGCCTCTCATATTGATTCTCCCATACAATGGCGACCAGTGATCTCATTTGTTTACGGATTTATTGGTTGTGCCTTTGCCACAGTGGGATGCATCCTGGGTTTTATGCATACTCGGTTCCCACTACCCAGAAACCCTTAGGCCTTAAGACAGAATCCTACTTTGCAGCCCAGGTTGGCCTGAAACTCTCAATGCGCCTGTCTTTGCCTTCCACATATTGGGATTGCAGATCTGTCTTTATGCCAGGCCACAACTCTGTATTTCTATCCAATGCACATTTCTTTCTTACCAGGAAAGGAAATTCTTTACTGTTCTCCCAGATGAGGAGACATGGTTGCCACGGTCATTATATAATTGACTACACAAGGGAACAGAAGCAAAATTATTTTTTAAACTTAATAAAATAAGAGATAGTGTTCCCACTAAGAATTTAGAGAGAGGCTCTTGGCAAGAATATTTTAGTATCAGGCAAAGTAATTCAAGAGCTTTGGGGGCATTGAAGGTAACGTTTTGGGTACCCTAGAGGAGCGACCCCTTCTTACCATGAGGTTGCATAAGTGTTTTGGTGTAGTATCATCACTACAGAGCTCTGTGTAGGGGCATGTGCCTGAAATCCCATCACTCAGGAGGAAGAAGCCAAAGGATCAGGAGTTCAATGCTCAGAATATATGAATACATGAGAGGTTTTTTTTTCAAGCAAACAAAACCCATAGAACCCCACAGACAAGCATATAAACAAATACAGGAATGATGAAGGCTTTAAATAATATGAGGGCTGGACATAACTGAGAAGGGAGTAAAGTAACTAGAATAAGGGACCATGTGCTATGGTGTCTGACCCTAGTGTCCAAATAATCCTGAGTCCAACACCGTGGTGCACATACAGACATAAATAAGTAGTTAATGGGGCTGAGGCAAAAAACCTCATTTCAGCTTAGTAGTTCAGGGTCAGCCTGGACTGCAGAATGAGACCCAATAATAAAATATTTTAAATGTAAAAATAAATTAAAACTTCTTAATCATCGTTGTCTTCTTCTTTTTTTATTTTTAGTTTTTTTCAAGACAGGGTTTCTCTGTGTACCAGCTCTAGTTGTCCTGGAGCTCACTCTGTAAACCAGGCTGGCCTCGAACTCACAAAGATCTGCCTGCCTCTGCCTCCCAAGTGTGGGATTAAAGACATGCACCAAGTCCACTGCCTAGTTCAGTTTTCTCATCTTTAAAATGGGATGCTAATATTTATCGGCTTTTTAGAACCGTGGAGAGTACTGCATAAACCATAGCAGTTATTTCATGGAGGAATGAAGCACAGAGCTATATAGAAAATAGGAAACAGAGCTGTGTAGCTTAAACAGTGCGGCGACTCGGAGGACTCTGTTCGCATGTTTTAAAAGTTTGAGCTGGATGCTTTTTTTAAAAGCACCTTTCATGGTCACTGGGCGATAGTGGCCTTTAATCCCAGCACTTGGGAGGCAGAGGCAGGTGGATCTCTGTGAGTTCGAGACCAGTCTGGTTTACAAGCGCTAGTTCCAGGACAGGCTCTAAAACTACACAGAGAAACCCTGTCTCACAAAACAAAAACAAACAAACAAAAACATAAAAAAAACCCAACCAGCCAGCCAAACAAAGCAAAAAAGCACCTCTTGTGAAGGGTGGGATGAGTAGTTGGCTATTGGCCGCGCTGTGTAAAAGAGAAGAGCATTTTTTTTCAAATGATGGCGGGAGGGTGGAAAGCCGCCAATATTCGTGCGGTTTCTGCCCCCTACTGAGGCGCTACAGCGCCACTGCGCAGCCGCAGAAGCCTCTTTCGGTTCGCGCTCCACGCACTTGGCGCCTGTGTGGGGTCGCAGCTGCACGTGCAGAGAAGCGGTCGGGGCGCTGTCGCTCGCTCGGTGCACCTCACCGCACCGCCACCTCACGATGTCTGAGGAGGGAGGTAAGGACCCTTCCCGCTCGCCTCCCTTGCGCCAGGTTCGGTCAGCTAGGGTGACCCCATCCCTTAGTCCCTTAGACTGCAGCCCAGTGACCGCAAAAGTGGGGGCCACCGCGCCACTGCTTTTCTCGCCCGGCTAGCGGGAATTGGGGTGCGTGTGTGAGAGAACAGGCCAGGCCCCTGCCGGGACGTGCCTCTCAGGGGGCTCCCTGGGTTCCAGGAGCTTGAGGTGCACCGGTAGAACGAACGAACGGCTTTCTCGAGGTGGGGGTAGGGAAGGTAAGACGAGGATTTTGGGGGTGTGTGTCTGGGGACAGGGGTCCTAAGGTGAGGCTACGGCAGGGGGTTGGGGTTGTCTAGGTGTTTCCGGTCGTCCCCGAAACTCGGGCTGAGGGGCGTCGTCCCCGAAACTCGGG